TATAAAATAATTCATTTTATATCTATAATTCTGTGTTTTCCAGCAAAGCATCCAAACTGTGGAGCTTCCTCCATCCTCATACAGAGAGGGTCCGGTGTATATCGCCTCAACCACCATAGGATGGAACAAGATGTGTCTGGGAATATCCTAACCCTCACCCTGGAGATCATCTACCTGCTGACTGGAGAGGTGAGGAGGATTCTGAGAGGTCACATGACATCACTCTTATCTCTATTAATAAAACACAGAGCTGACTGGAGAGGTGAGGAGGATTCTGGGAGGTCACATGACATCACTCTTATCTCTATTCATAAAATACAGAACTGACTGGAGAGGTGAGGAGGATTCTGGGAGGTCACATGACATCACTCTTATCTCTATTAATAAAACACAGACCTGACCGGAGAGGTGAGGAGGATTCTGGGAGGTCACATGACATCTAGGTGAAGAGTAATTTAGGGATTTTTTCTGTGTGATGATTATTGTATCTTACTGCTTAGAATTATGGACCCATGAAGAAGAAGTCTGGTGGTCCTCCACCTCCTATCCTGACACCCGAGAGGAACATCGACAAGAAGATCCTAGAAGTCACCCAGAAGATCATTGAGCTGCTGACAGGAGAGGTGAGCGGTGCCGGGAATTCTGGGACACGATCCAGGAACAGACAAGGGATGTGTCTGGATGGTGACTGTATCATTGTGTGTGTCAGGTTCCTATAAGGTGTCAGGATGTCTCTGTCTATTTCTCTATGGAGGAGTGGGAGTATCTAGAAGGACACCGAGATCTCTACAAGGACGTCATGATGGAGAACCGGCCGCCCCTCACATCACCGGGTAAGAATCCCAAGTTCTTGCAGATCTGTCTGTCATCTTTTTATATGTTTAAGATTTCCCTCATATTATGGGAACGTTCCTTTAACTGGACCTTCCCAAAATGGGCATTTCCTACTTCTGGGATGTAGGAGGTTCTCCGTTCTCCATGAATGCTCACAGTCACCAGCAGTACTTATTCTCTATGTCGGTGACTCCCATGTACATAGCTCCTTCAGATCCATTGACTCTAGGGGCAGGTCTAGTAATATTGGCCAGAGAGTATGTCATATGGAATCCCTATACACATGTCCACTTCAATGCACGAGAGAGTTGAAGAAGAGTCAGAAGTAGAACTGAAGCCAAAACCTTTTTTTTAGATTTGGATAGAGTAAGGGAGGGTTATAACCTCTGTCAGCTTTCTCCCCATTGAGGAGATTTCCCTTCACTTCCTGCCTGATCACCACAACAGGAAGTGAGAGGAAATCCCTCCGAATGGAGAAAAATCTCTGGTGGTCAGAAGGTTCACCAGGCCACCCCAGTTGAAAATTTCCCATCTATTCCTGTTCTGGTGACAACCCAAAATTTAGGGATTCTCTTTCACTTTGATAATGGTCACCAGGAGACCTTTAAATATAGAGGTAAAGATAATAATTTTACAGTTTAGCCCAAAAAAGACTCCCATCGATTTTGGGCCTACTATGTCCTTGAAGGAGTTTGTAGGGCGAAGATTTGTTTATATTTAGTTGGAAAAGGTCTTCTCCTGAGAGCAAGAGCTCTCAGGATGGTGATGGTGTTGTGACCCCGTCTGCACCATCACCTCTAGAGAAATGTTTCTCCTCCCAGAATCCTTTGCTTCAGCTTCCTATATATTCCCATGTTTCCTTCCTCTCACCCTGATGTCTTTCTTTCCAACAGATTCACCGTCATCAAATTGTCCAAATGAAGATTCAATTATTGTTATCCATCCTCTAACCGACCAGTCCTCCTCAGCAGAGGAGCAAAAGATGACCCCCACCATGGAGAACATCACCAAGGCTTCAAATTCTTGTGAAGAAGAAGAAGGAGGTTTCTCACAGTGTGACATCTCAAAAACCACACCTCATACATTGACTATCGTTGTTAAGGAGGAACTCTTCCCGGGTGAAGAGCATTCCCTCCACCCTGTAGACTCCACCACCACCCATGCACAGTCTGCCCCAGCTGATTGTAAGGTGGAGACGCTCTTAGTTGAAGAGCATCTCCTCCATCCGGTAGACTCCACCACCACCCATGCACAGTCTACACCAGCTGATTGTAAGGTTCAGACACTCTTAGTTGAAGAGCATCTCCTCCACCTGGAAGACTCCACCACCACCCATACACAGTCTGCCCCAGCTGATTGTAAGGTGGAGACGCTCTTAGTTGAAGAGCATCTCCTCCAGCCTGACATCTCCACTCTAACCCAACGGACACAATACCCATCTGCACATTTTGAAGAGGACCCTTTTCCGTATAAAGAACCTCCCACCCCAACAGGGTTTTCTCTCAATGCATGTTCTCCGGCTACTCATGATCAGGGGGAATATGTACCGGTCTTTTACCCTCCTTGTTACCTCGATCAAAGCAAAGCTCCCCAGGAGCCTCGTGCCTACAATAAACCATTTGCTTGTTTTGAATGCAATACGTTTTTTCGGGACAGGTCCGAGCTGGTGGCCCATCAGAGGTCCCACGCTGGCCAGAAGCCTTATCGTTTCACCAGCTCCGCTGGCCTTGCTCCACCACACCCGGGCACCACGTCCTATTCCTGCTCTGACTGCGGCAAGTTCTTTTCCACTTACTCCAATCTGAGCCTCCACCGGAAAATCCACTTGGGGGTGAAGCCGTATTCCTGCCCGGAGTGCGGCAAATGCTTCCTAAGAAACTCGCACCTCACAAGGCACCGGCAAAGCCACGTCGGTGACAGAGTCAAGCCTTACTCTTGCACCGAGTGTGGCAAGAGTTTCCTCAGCCGGTCTTCTTTTGTGGTCCATTGGAGAAACCATACGGGGGAGAACCCTTTCTCTTGCTTGGAGTGCGGGAAATCTTTCCCAGCTTATAGCTGTCTGGTGCAGCACTGGCGCGTCCACACTGGTGAGAAGCCCTACCCTTGCTCGGAGTGTGGCAAACGCTTCGCTGCTTATTCCAATCTTACCCTCCACCATCGCATTCACACCGGAGAGAAGCCGTACTGTTGTTCGGAATGCGGGAAACGGTTTGTGAGGAACTCGCATCTCAGGAGGCATCGGAAATGCCACACGGGGGAGGAGTCACATCTATGTGATGAATAAAGAAAGAGGTTTTTTTTCACCGTGGACGGTTTTGTGACCCATTTGAGGGTTAGCACCGCGAACAATCCATATCCTTGTACCAAAAATGCTTCTCCACCTACTCCAGACTCGATCCGCACCATAGAGTCCACACAAGAGACTCAACACATACAGGAAGCACTTCACCATGTACTCAACCTGGTCCTTCACCAGAGAAACCATATTGGGTAGAAGCCCCACTCCTGTGTTAAGTGTGGCAAACGTTTCATGAGGAATTCCTACCTCACAAACCATCTGGAGTGCCACATAGTTGACCTCAGAAGAACTCACAAAGAAGGGGAACCATTGTGACGCTGAATTTGGAAATGGTTATATCAGCCAGGTGGGTCTGGCTTTTCAATGGGCCCCCTGGTAAGATCCCATACACCCTGCCCTTCCACAGATCTCTACTTACCTTAATATTATCCCACGGACTTATCAGTTCTTTGTCTTTTGGCAGCCAACATCTTCTTAGTCCCGGCCCGGCGACTGATCCAGGAGGCGGTTGGTTGACTGGCCTATAGAAGTCTAAGGAAGGCGTGGTCAGCACTAAGAACATTTTTGCTGCCAGGAGGCAAAGGATTGAAGGGAAGTATGGAGCTGTGAAGGGGGAGAGGTGGAAATTTGGCCAGGAGGCCTAGAGATTAAATGAAATCCAGTTCCGGTAAGGTTTGGTTATCTTTATAATTAGGAACATTCTTCTTTGAGGGTAAATGTGCTTCACGTTCGGGAATCTCCTCCACCCCCTCAGATCTGGACTCTAGCAAGGAAGCCCACCTATTGCAGATGACAAAAACCTATTTTGCCACTGGTCACGAGAATTTGCATTGGTCAATCCGGCCTTCTAAAGCTTCACCCATGCATACTTTGCCCCTTCCCTCTCCCCTCTCCCAGCCATCCTGTCCCAGTGACAACTGCTTCACCCATTTCATCTCACAGTGACACCAGCAGGGTTACAGACACCAGTAAAAACCTGAGAAAGTATTTGTTCCTTGCCACGGACAGAGGTCCATGTCCACAGGAAGAGAGACAGCCCAGGAAATACAGAAGCGTACCTAAGCCTGCATAGAGATGCAGGTGCTGTGGGGTTGCTCAGGGCGCTATGGAGTCACAGGATGCCCTGGGGTCACTACTTAACACAGGATTTTCTGGTGTTGTGGGTGATGGAGGATGATGTGGTGCTTTGGGGTCACTAGGTGATTCAGGATACTCTGGGGTCACTGCATAACGTTGGGGACACCAAAGATACAGGGGTCATTGGAGACTCAGGGGTCACTGGAGTGAACAAAGGACAGAGAGGCACTGAAGACAAAAAAGCATTGGGGTCACAAGAGATACTGGGGTCACATAGTCTCTGGTAGCACAGAGGTCACGAGTGTACAAAAGACAGAGAGTCACAAAGGCATTGGGGTCACAAGAGATACTGGGGTCACAGAGTCTCTGGTAGCACAGAGGTCACTGGAGTGTACAAAGGGCAGAGAATAACAAGAGCATTGCGGTCACAAGAGATACTGGGGTCACATGAGAGTACAGGGGTCACAGAGGCTCTGGTAGCACAGAGGTCACCGGAGTGTACAAAGGACAGAGAGTCACAAGAGCATTGGGTCACATGAGAGTACAGGAATCACAGAGTCTCTGGTAGCACGGAGGTCACTGGAGTGTACAAAGGACAGAGAGTCACAAGAGCATTTGGGTCACATGACAGTACAGGGGTCACAGAGTCTCTGGTAGCACAGAGATCACTGGGGTCACAGAAACTAGAAGCACATCAGACACTGGAGGCACGGGGGCTCAGCTTGGGTGTAGGGTCTTGTTGCTTGACCGCCAACCAAAACCAATGCATCACCTAGCCCTTTAAGGTAGCTGATTGCCTTCGTCACCAGCACTTTGGGCCAGAGACAAGACCCGTCATTGGATCCGGGATGAAGTGAGTGTGACACCTCCACCCCAATTCTCCAAATTGGAACAAAAGTAATTGTCTGGAGGGGCAGAATGATGGCAACCATAAAGAAATGAGGCTTCCTTGAAGGGTTCCTTCCCCCTGTTCACACTACTGGAACTCATGGACCATACCATGTTTGGGGTGGGGGTGATTCTTGGTAATTGTGCGAAAAGTCTTTACAAATTGGTATATTCTAGTTGGTCATATTGTTGGTTCTGTTTTAATGGTTTAACTCAACAAAAAAATATATTTGAGGTTTCATAGGCAGAGTCTTTGGTACAGGAAAGTGCGGCGCGTCAGCCTGGAACACTACAACAGTGGATGGATCAATCTGTATCACCGAGGAGACATTGATCTACATCACCACCACCTCCCCCACCACCTGCCCTTCAAGTATACATGACATAACTTATTGAATGTGTGGTTCACATGTACTGACATGTACTCATGTACGTATATGTTTTTTCTATGTCCGTGGAGCTTGTGAATAAAATATTTCACCTCAGATCTTGTCCTGAGTGTCTTTCTTCACACTGGGCGTGCCGTTATAGAGTCAGTCCAACCACAGCCTTGGGGATCCCCACCGGGAGACGTCACCACCATTGTTTCTGGTCCTTTACCCAACCAGGTTGACGTGTTCCCGCCCGGTCACCTTAGGTTGCCCCTGTGCTTCTTAGAAATGGTGGAAACCCATTGTGATATCCACATGAGATGTGCACACTCGGGAACTACAAGCGGGGATCTCATCAATAAAATAAAGAGCAATTACTTTTTAGTTTAATTTATGTCTATTATTAGTATTATTATTTATTATTATAATTCATATCTTATTAAAATAAAAATCCTATGTTGGGCAATAGAATGTAGAACATTATTTATTTTATTATTGTTATTTCTAGTACAACTGCAGTATTATTAAAATAGTTTTAGTGTTATAATAATGTTATTATAAGTATAAGTATTCTTTAAATGTAGTATTAGCATTCATCTTTATAAAGCAGTGCCTTTTGACATTCACTTTACATTCACTGCTGGTGAATCAATCATTTTAAATATGCTTTAGCTATATTTTAATAAATATATTGTTATAATAATAATATCAATATTTGATTACGACTTTTTTCTTTCATTTTTTAAAATAAGACACCATGAAGTGGGACCCCCGATCGATTGATTGATTTTTGGTCAAACACTTGGGTAGGATTCATTTAGAATAGGGCTACTGAGCTTACAACCCACACTGTGCTGAAGCGCCCGAGCAGTGGGCGGAACCTCGCAGCCCGGGATCGCGGGGAAGGGAGCGCCGGGTGCCATCCGCCCTTTGGAACGCAACAGCTCCCGTGGAACGCACAGACCGGAAGTAACTGCTGTAACTTCCTTTCCTGTTGTCTCAGGAAGAAGGAGAGGAGAGGGTGATATGTGTGTGATGCCTGGTAGTGACTGCAGGTAAAAATGGGGGAACCATGTCGCTGCTGTGGGGTGCTGTGCCGGTATCATATGCAAAGGGAGGGGCTTGTCACTTTGAGTGTCAGTCATGTGATTAGGGGGTTTGTAATGGAGATGTGAGCTGCACCTTGGTCACATGACCCCCATAACTAAGATGTGTGTGTACATAATATATTATTATTTATATTTTATTAACAAAATCTGTTGAATAATATTTATGAATTAAAATGGAGCTGCTGAGATCTGCGCTATGTGTTCCCGCAACGTAATGCCTCTGAATGGCCCATCAACCACCTGTGACCGCTGCAGCAGATTGGGCCACCCGTCCCGAGACATTGCAGGGCGACTTGAGACGGAGTGCACTAAAAGTGAGTTCCCGGGTCTGTACACCTGTTGTGCCCATTATGAGGGGCTCCCACCATCTCTGACCTGAGTTCCCTGGTCTGTACACCTGCTGTGCCCATTATGAGGGGCTCCCACCATTCCAGTGTTGAGTTCCCGGGTCTGTACACCTGCTGTGCCCATTATGAGGGGCTCCCACCATCTCTGACCTGGGTTCCCGGGTCTGTACACCTGCTGTGCCCATTACGAGGAGCTCCCACCATCCCTTTGCTGAGTTCCCGGGTCTGTACACACGCTGTGCCCATTATGAGGGGTCCCCACCATCCCCGTGCTGAGTTCCTGGGCCTGTACACCAGGAACTATGTTGGAGAGTGTAACAGGAGGAGTGAAGGACACGAAGGTGGGAGTGCGTCCCATTTCCAGGAACAGATTTGGGGAGGATGGCGGGGAAATCTCACAAGATTTGGGGTATTGCCCTGTATACTGATGCATGTGTTCCTCTCAGTACACAGGAATTTACAGTGGTGAAGAAGGCGCCTTGGGACTCATCTCACGCTCAGCATCCTTTCCGTGGTGAAGGACGGAGGAGGAGCCAGAGCCAAGCCTTCCTCCATGACATCTGAGAGAAAAGATGACAAGATCCTATATCTGCTGACAGGAGAGGTGAGTGGCGCTAGGAATCATGGGCTATCATCCAATAACAGCAAGCCGGGCAGCATGCGCCCATTTTGGACGTCATACATGGACCTCCCTTGGTTATATCTGGAGGTGTAGCTGGCATGCAACGGACGGTACAGGTCTGGTCCAGAACATGGTGGGGGCATTATCATGTTCTGGGAATGGCTTCAGGCGTCCCAGGAAGAGGTTGAGCCTGTGGCCAAGTCAAGGGGAGCACTGAATGGCCTCCGTCCCCGCCACTCTACCGTTCTATATTTGTCTTTATCATTGGAGGCCACGCTTCCACCTCCAGCCTTATCCAACTGCAG